CTGTGCCATGAAAACTTGGGGTACAAAGGCAAATCCTGAAACCCCCTTGCCATTCCCAAATTGGTCTAAGGACTTCCCTCCGGGATGAAGAAATCTCACTGCTACCATTTTGATTTTATTGAAATGAGTCTTGTGAGTTAGAGCCATGGATGATGGTCTTTCTTTGAGGGCACACAGATGAGTCTGGAGGAAAGCTAGCAAACTTGACGATCTAGAAGCAGCCTTTCGATGAAATGGTGCTGGTCATTTTTCAACAACTAGTCCTGGATGCCCATCAAATGCCAGGAGCTGTACTAGGCACTGGGGACACAGAGGTGACCAAGACATGGGGACTAGCCCCTGACTGCTCACGGCCCAGTGAAGGAGGAGGAGAGGGAATCAGGGATTATAATTAAACAGCTGGTGGAAGAAGGTTAGCACTTGGTTGTGAATGGTTTGCCTCGAGGACCTCCAGGTAAAGATGGCTGGGTACAGAGGGCCTGGCACTAGAACAAAGATTGGGAAGAAATAGAGATTTCAGAGTTATCAGCGCAGATGTGATAAACAAGGATCCCAGAGGAGAGCAGAGGACTGAGCACCCTATTGCAGGAGGGGTTCATTTGGGGTTCCCAAATCATTCATGGCACCGACTACAACTCTTTCTCCCAGCAACCAACCTCTCTTCAGCTCCATCTTTCCCCTTTTTCTGTGGGTTGTTTACCAACTGAGGGGTGATCCGGATGGAATAGCAGTAGGGAGGGTTGTGGTGAAGAGGGGGACAGTGTTCCTCTTGGGGCCTCGCTCCCTGCCTAGCACAGAGTGGGCCCTCGAGATGGGGTTACTCAGTGTTTGTTGCCTAATTCGAAGAAGGAAGCAGAAGCCAGATTAGAGTTCTATTTTTCTGCTTCCATCAGGTCTGTGCAGGGCCTCATTGCTGTTATGAAAGGCGGAGGGACACCTGACGATGACCGGCGGCGAGCCCTGGCCAAGGCCGGGAGTGGACGGGAAGGCTGGGGTCCTGTCTGAGCTTCACCTCTCTTTTTCAGTCATGACACTTGGACCGAGTGAAGCTGACTGCTCTCCCCGGGGACCCTCAAACATGAGCCCTGTTCCACATGCATCGGAAAGCGGGCCAAGAGTGGAAGGAAGTGCCCAGACAGAGGGAGACAGAGTATTAAAATTCCACCGACAATTCCGTGGGAAGGAGTTTACAGTTCCTAACTGACCGTAAACCCTTTCTCCTGACAAGTCTTGGAATACATCACTCCGGGCTCTCCCGGAGCAGCTGACACATTGCAGTAACGCTTCTCCAGAAGTCAGGGTCTGCTGATTCCAGGGGGGATGAGAGGCAAGCTGGGAGCAGCTGAAATGGCCCCTGTCTCCTCTGACTTCAGAGACCCAGGGCAGGCGGCCGGCTGGAAGGAGACCCATCCTCAGCGCTGCGACTCCCCGGCCGGAGCTGGGAAGGTGGTTTGTTCACTGTCTGCCTCTGGGTGGAATTCTATTCACCTAGTGGGGGAGACTCGTTTTCTCTCAACTGCAAGCTCAGAGTGGCAAGTCGCATATGTCTTTTATTAATAAAAACAAGAAAATGGAGTCATTATTACTGCATAATTGTAGTTCATTTGCTAGGCCAAATCTTTCAAAGCCCAGGTGCTAGGGTTGGGACAGAGGAAGAAAATAAAAGGGGACCTTGATATGAACCCTTTGGGAACCACCTGTGTAGGAGGCAGCGCAGGAGAGACTCTCAAACAGGCACTGCTCCTGTGAGTGAGAGCAGGCGCGGGCAGCGAGACGCATACTCTGGGGCTGCAGAGACATGTGACCCTGAGCCCCTCCAGGAGTCAGGGGACCTTCAGCCAGGCCCCACCCTCCTGAAGGCTCCATCTTTTTCTTTTTTCTTTTTTTTTTTCCCTAGGAAATCAGAGCTCATGTTCCTGTCCTGCTTGACTCACAAGGTTGTCCTGAGAATCAAATGACATCTGTATGGATTCCTTCCTTCCTTCACTCCATAGTCATCAACCCAGGTATGCTGTGGGCCAGACATTGTGCTGGGTAATAACATGCAAAAAAGAATAAAAGGCAAATCCTGCCTTCAAGGATCCCACAGTCTCGTGGGGGCCACACAGAGGAAAAGATGGGAAGAATAATACATTAAGGTGTGGGGAGCCCTGTGTTCTCACAGTGCTTTGGAAGCCAGAGAAAGGGCCCTCTTCTCATCTCTTACAAGTGATCAGAAAGGGCTTCTGGATGGTGATGCCTGAGCTGATTTGTAACAGGTGAGCAGGAAGATTCAGGAGAGATCACATCATTTCCAAAACGTGGACATGATCAGCGTGTGTGTGACCCTGATGCTCCAGTCTGAATAAGTATTGCTATGCATGTTTTATGACCATGACTCCCCAGTGAGGCTGTCAAAAAAAGGAGGGGATGGGGGCCGAGGGGAACTTGCTGGCAGCTTTGCTCCGTGTGGAGGACAGCACCCCAACTGTCTCCCTATGTCATTTATACTACCCCTAGTCTGCTGAGGATAAAAGCTGTGCCACAGATCAGAACCTCAATGAGAGTAGGAGGCCCCAGGTGGGCCATTAGGATGTGATCTTTTAGACTTGCTGGAGACGAGATTAAGATGGGAGACCGACAAGTTTTAAGATGGTGGCCCCACATGGACCCAGGCAGAAAGCCAGGCCAATATAAATTGTTTCAGCCCTTTAAGGCAAGAACAGAGTTAAGAACAGAGCTAAGGTAGAACAAGACACCCAGACTTTGGAAACCTGCCCATCCTTAGGCTGTTGACATTTTCTGGAATCCTTTTATTTTTGGCCTCTTTTAATATTAAGTAAGGTTATTTTTTAAGATGCCAGCCTGGCTCTAGAGCATTTGAACTAGAACTTGAAAAGAATGGGCTTTGCTCTTGGGAGCCAGCAAGTGGTGACGACAAAAATCAGAGGGAGACCCTTCTTTCTATCCCAAGAAAGATGGCGCTGGGAGAGCCAAATGCTGTTGTCAGATACCACTCCCCGCTGGAGTTTCTCCTTCCAGTATTCTACTGGGTGAAGCTTTAGTGCATTCTGTGTGCTTTTCACAGAAAAGACATTTCCTTATAATGCCTGTAAGAAAAGAGGACCAAGACTAAACATGGAGAACATCCCATGTTTAGAAGCCAGAGAAAGGGCCCTCTACTCATCTCTTACAAGTGATCAGAAAGGGCTTCTGGATGGTGATGCCTGAGCTGATTTGTAACAGGTGAGCAGGAAGATTCAGGAGAGATCACATCATTTCCAAAACGTGGACATGATCAGCGTGTGTGTGACCCTGATGCTCCAGTCTGAATAATTATTGCTATGCATGTTTTGTGACCATGACTCCCCAGTGAGGCTGTCAAAAAAAGGAGGGGATGGGGGCCGAGGGGAAAAGAGGACCAAGACTAAACATGGAGACCATCCCTCCTCCAACCTGAGGGACGGGCCCTAGGAAAATGGGCTGAGGTTCTCGGTTGGGACTTGCATAGCTTGTTGCTCTTTGGATGCTGGATCCCACTTATTGTCTATCCGCCAGCACTGTGAGGGGTACCTGCACTGGCCAGTTGTGCTGCCAGGGGTCCTGCTGGAGAGGTGGGTGGGCAGGCAGGAGACTCGCACAAGACGGGTCTGTTTCCTGACTGCACAAGGGAAAAATGTTTATCCCTCACCTCTGGGCCTCTAATGAATTCCGATTCAAGCCACACAGGCCTCGGAATCGATAGTTTTAATCATTTCAAAAACTAGCCCCACTCTGGGTAAAATTACAATGCGCAAGAAGCTCAATGGAGCTTAAAGGCCACAACCTCATTATCATTTCATTAGACTCACATTTCAGCAAGATGGAAAGAAATGTTCTCACACACCACCCCCTCCCACAGCTCCCCTCTTCTCCCCCGGCCCTGTGGAATAACTCTGGAGGACAGCGATGGTTTACAACAGCTGTCAGCTTGCAAGAGCCACTGGCCCACTCCCATCATGCACTCTACCCAAGGAGGAAGCCTGGTGCAGTCGCTGGAGACCTCAGCGCAAATCAGCGCAAATGCCTCCCAAATCAAGTTTGCAATTCTGGGAAATTTAGTAAAAACAACCCCGCTGTCAGTTTGCCTTCTCACAGCTGGAGGGGTCAAGTCATCAACACAGTATAAACCCAGGCCAGCAGAACCTTGTCCTGCGGAGGGCCCCAGACGCCCTCTGGGAAGCAAAGGGTTTGAAAATGTCTTAAACTTTTCCAGTTTGTTTATTTTCCAATGTTTAATGATATTGTCCATGCAAAGAGCAGAACCCCAGCTCCTGCTAACAATTAAAGAGGTTTTCTAATTTAGGAGAAAATGTGATTTTAAAAGGAGAGAGAGAAAGAAAGAGCTTGCATAGGAAGTAAAGCAAATAATTTACGTCAAGAACATGCGTGCAAAAGAATCTTGAGTTGAGAAGACCTTGACTGTATGGTGAGCACGAGGAGTGAAAGCTGTTCAGGGTGACTGACCCAACCCAGGGGCAATTTCGGAGAAGGAGGCAACTGTCTGCCTTTCTGATATCCCTCAATTGCACCTCACTACACCACCACCACCTTTCAAAGGTTTCATGTTTGTGGCTTGTATCTGTGACTCAAATATCCTCAAACCTCTACATCCCATAAGTCCAGACTGCCAGAGCCTCACTCTGTGATTTGGGGAACCTCTCAGGAGTGTCCCACACGTGCTCAAGAATAGGACTGTCTTTGAGAGTGGGTGCCATGTCCCCCCAAAGTTTTGCTCTCACCAGCTTGCTCTCTGATGCCCAGAGTCACTCCAGGATGGGCCTTGCTGCTGGCATGCCCTATAAGAATGCTGCTGCCTACCTAGGACATTGTCTAGAAGCTTCCTCAAAGGACAACACTGCCGACCCAGTGTCCTCAGAGCCCTGGAGCCTCACAGTGTCCTGTACCCTCCTCACCAATTCTCTCACACCCTCACACTTGGACATCAAACTGGACTGACCTGTCTGAGTCTATTAGGAGCCCCCACCCATGAAAACTGCCCCTTTGGCTGAAGGGTAGTGGGCAGGGATATGGTGAGGTCTACTCCCCCACTCACCTTTCCTTCCCATCACTGTTAATAAATGCTTGTGATCCAGGCTTCTCCAGCTCCAGCATATTTTAATCCTACGACTAGAAAAAGGTTAGGATGAAGTTGAATCCCACTCCATTAAAAGAAGGCAGCCTCTTATAATCACCTGGAAAGTTTTTCCAAATCCTTTTGTCCAGATCACCACCCCCCCAAGCCAAGAAATGAGAATCTCTGGCCACCTCCCTAAGTGATTCCAGTGTGCAGCCAAAATTGAGACCCACTGTCTTAGAGGAAGAAAAGTAGGGAGCAAAGGAAGCAAAGCTGAAGTTAGGCGCCCTTTCCCTGAGATGGAAGGGAACTAGGCAAGCCAGACATGATGCCACACCCTGGACACACACTGAGAAAACCCAGTGATTCTACTGCCAAACCCACCAGTGACTCGTGCTGCTGTTGTTAGTTTCTTTCAGCTGAGTCAACATATTGGGAAAGTCGCAGAAGACAAGTGCAATTCAGGCCTGGTGGCATCAGAGATGCCTGGAGGGAGGAGGCCTTGTCTGTGGCTATGGTGGAGACAGACAGAATCCTGCAATTGACAGGACATTGGGAGAGTATCTGATCACGCCCTGTGTATATGTCCAAACAACCCAGGACAGCTGACCACCCGCCCCCCAAAACAGGCATGACCAGGGAGGGTTGGGTGCACAGAGTTCATCCCTTCACTGGCTCACTCATTTGTTGGTTCATTCATCCATTTGTCCATTCACTTACTCACACCCGTGAATGTCAAAGCTGTGTGTGAGGAACCTCAGATATCATATGCAGCCCAGTGGTTCCCAGGCTTTGTTTTTAGCTGAGGAATGTGGTCTAAGTGAAACCGTATGGAAGCACAAACAAATACAAGAGCAGTTGCTAAAGTAGAATAGGAGGCCTTGGACCAGGCCCACTCACCTCCCTTTTCCTAAGGGGGCTTCACCAGATTCTCCTGTTTCAAAGAGAAATGGTTTGGAAATCTCTCAACTTGTAAATGAGGACACTGAGGCACAGGGCCGGGTGGTACTTTGCCCAGAACCCAAAGAGATTTCATGCACAGAGCTGAAGAAGACAGTGTCCTTGCAAAATGGAGCTACTCAAAGCAGAGATGAAAACTCCACCTCAGATGCTGAACCAAATGCTCAAACCCCTCAGGAGACTGCCCTGTCAGCTTTGTTTTCTGAAGAAAGCCCTTCTGAGGTACTTTCCCAGCACACGGTATTCAGGGGGGAGCTACAACCCTGTTCTCTGGAGCCTACCAGGTCTAATTCATGTTCAGTCAGGATGCCCACTGCCAGCGCCCATGCTAACTGTCCTGGGTGTTTTCATGTTGTTAAATATTTTAGTACCACAGTTGGATTCCACCATTAAAGTCTCCAAAGTATGAGTAAGAACCAAACAGTAACAAAAAATATCAGTAACTCCACCAGCAATACCTACCTTCTCATTGCTGTTATTTGACACTGGATCTACTCAAGATCTTTCAGAAAAGAGAGTGATTCTCTTCATGCGGTGATTTCCACGGGGGACTTTCTGGGCGTGGTCTTCCTGAAGACACCTCTTGGGCACAGGGTGGCCAGGCTGCTTTCTGAAAGTCACACAAGTGCCTCAGGACAAGGGCAGGGCCCAGTGCCATCCCAACCCTTCCACTGCCAGCAAGCAGCGCCACAGCACCATCATTTGTCAGGCCTGGAGTTGTGTGTGTAGCAGATGCTGACCTGCCCGGGAATTGCCCTCAGCTAAAGGGAGCTGGCTTGCCTGAGTTAGGCCCTTCCCAGGAGGTACAGTGACCTGGCCCATTGCCTCAACTGGGGACATATTCGAAGGGCCATTCAAGCTGCAACAGGCCCCCTGGGAGCTGCTGAGGCCTCATGGGAACCCCACTGCCTATAACCTCTCCCTTGAGCCAGTCTTGCCTCCATGACCCCCATACAGGGATGTTTCAGGAGCTTCCCCCAACTGACCTTCTGTACATAGATCTTCCTTTTAGGGTCTATTTTCTGAGGAGCCTTCCGCTCCACAGTCCACATGCACAAAATGGGGCCATACTCATCTCTCAGAGATATTTGAGGGTTAAATGAGCTTGTTGTTCACGTGAAATTTCCTCTTTAAAACAGTGCCTGGAATATAGTAAGTGAGCAATGCACACTTTTGCTTACTTCTTCCCTCGCTATTATAGTGAATAGCAAATGGTCTCTTTCTTCTGAGGGAGAAATCTGGCTCTCTGTTCATTAGGAAAGCAGACATGACTGACACATTCCAGTGAACATTCAATCCTTTCTTTGTGTTCAGGTGTTCTACATAGTTGTGCTCACTCCTCATACCAACACACACACACACACACACACACGCACACACACAGAGCACTGAAGAATTCTGCAATCTTTGCAGCTTTATAAACATCCACAGCTGCTTTACACCATTACAACAACACACAATCATGGGGTTGCTTGTGAAGAGGCCTATATATCAAGTTAGATGTCCCAGGAGGCAGAGATGGCTTCCTGGTGGAGGAAAAAAAAAGGAGGTCCTCATGAAGGAGGTCACAGGTTTTGAAGGATGGACAGAAATCCAGCTGGCAGAGAAGGTGGGAGTGGCTTTCTAGGTGAGGGAATGATATGGCAGTGAACAGTGGGATTGAGAAAACAAAACACGTCTAGGCAAGTCCTCCACTCTTGGCTGAAAACAGGGTTTTGCAGAGGAGGATGAGGGGGAGGAGCCAGGCCTGGGAAGACGGGTGGAATCTGATTGGTTGAGGCCTTGAACGCCAAGCTGAGGCTGGAAATAATGGGGTGCCACTGACAATTTATGAGAGCAGGGGGGAGCTCCATGCCAGTCATGAAGAAGACTGAATGGGAATGATATCGGAGGCTAAGAACCAGTGAGGGGGCTGTGGTAATAGACGGCTGGACATCCCCCTGCCTGCCTGGGGGACTGGAGGGTGAGGAGGATGGATGTCCAGAGTAGGAATGCTGATGGCTTTTTTCAGATCACCACCGCTATTAAAACCTTTGGGAGCAACTGCAAATACCCTCAACTCCTGATCTGAGATTAGGAAACAAAGGAGCTTGCTCCTCAACAATTGTTTGGGGAAATGAAAGAGGAAACTGACCTCAGCATAAGGGTGCTTGACTCACTGTCTCTGAGTGACCTCGTGCAGGATAATTCTCTGAATCTGATGCCAGCCACTCCTCTGTCCACAGCTGGCCTCACAGGAATGTAGAATCCCATGTACAAAACACCTAGAGAAACTTCCAGAGACAGGACAGACCCAGCCCTGGTTCCCCACTCCTTGCTGTAAGGCAAATCCCTTACACCTTTCTGGGCCTCAGTTTCCTCATGTATTAAATGGTAGTTGTAATTATCACCACTCACTTGTGGGACTTTTATGAGCTCAAATAGCCTAATAAACCTGAAATTGCTAAAGAAACGTAGGCCTAATTGTTGATGCTGTTATGAAATTGGGTATTACATTACCGCCCCTCCATCACCTCGTGCTGCTCTTTTCTCTGAAGAGCCCCAGTGCTGTTCGTGGTGTTGTTCTTTCATGGATAATTAATTTCCAAACACCTACTCTTGTTTATCCGTGGGCCTTACGTAAGGAGGATCTACAGATACTGCCTACCTGAAACAGATCTTGAGTCAGATCCTACGAAAGCCAGGAGGGCCTGGCTGAGATTGCCTTGGGGAGGCGGCAAAAGGGAGAGGCATTGCTAGCGTTATGGGGAGAAGCTGCTGGTCTCTCCAGAAGGGGCAGGCTGGTGACTCAAGCTGGGACTTTCTGGGCACAGAGAAACTGTGACCACTCATCCCTTGAATCCTTCTAGCTCCCATGGACCCAGAACCCGGCCCCTCCCCATCCTGGGTCACCTCCTGGTCCCACTACCCAGAAACCTAACAGTGCAGCCAGTGTGACTCACCAACCATGTGACCTCATTTTCCTCATCTGTAAAATGGGTCAAATAATCTCTGAGCTGCCTGCCTTACAGAGCTGATCTGAAGAGGGTCCCATGGGCTGAGGATACAAGAATGAGTGGGGACGATAAGGCGTTGTACTAAGGTAAAGGGTGTTTATACTCATGCTTCAGGGTATGTTTTAAGACAATTTCTTGCCAGTGGTGTGGGGCAAGGGAGATAATGGCTGGAGGCTGTTCTGCAGTGGCTATGAGAAGTGGTAGGGGATCCCAGAATACCAGTTTGTTCCAGACCCAAAGTTCCAAAGCTGGGGAGAAAATGTCTCTTGAACACAAGTATTCAAGAGAATATCTCCTGGTGTTCTGATGCAAGGCATCCCTAAAAACAGAATCCCAAACACTCCAAACCACGAGAGCAGGACAGCGCATGGAAGTCACATCTTCCATCAGCCCAGGGCTTAGCTGTTGCAGTCTTTCCAAATGTCTCCGAATGTGCTGGCAGAGGCATGTGACTGCCCTAGGACACTGGCCCCACTCAGACCACAAAGCAGCATAACTGAAAGTGAGCTCCTGAGAAGCTGCAAGTCCCCTTTCCTGGGAGGCTTGCTCTGAATGGAGAAAAGAGGACACCCCGAACAGCAACATGCCCAGTCCCCCCAGCATAGTAGGAGTCCTGAAGGAACAAGGCGTGGGTCCCCTGATCACAGGCAGCAGGGTGAGGAAATAGGTGAGTGTTCTCCAGGGGAGGTGACCTAGGAACCACCTACATTGTCGTAAGACTTTAGGGCTTCTCTGATGGGACAAGGTTGAAGGACTGGTGACCCCCCCAAAGTCCCCAAAGCAAAGACAAGTTCTCCAAATTCAGACCAACAGAGACTGCGCATTCTGTCCCTGCCACATCCACCACCGTTTCTAAGTATTTCCCAGCCTCAAAGGATTTCCTAACTCATAAGCCTGGAGATTGTTTTTCCTTTACCTTGACTCCTCCCCCACCTACAATCATATTGGGATTACACCCCCAGATTCAGCTTGCCAGTGGCTTATACTGGACCCTTCATATTGAAGCCCCAGGCATGTTTTTCCTCCCTCGTGTAGTAGCCTCAAGCACAGGCTCTGGAGTCAGACTCTCTGAGTTCAAATCCCAGGTCTGTCACTAAGCAGCCATGTGATCCTGGGCTGTTTATTTAACCTTTCTGAGCCCATCAGTATTGGTGATGATAGGAAGACCCACCTCATAGCCTTACTGTAAGAACTGGCACTTGCCACCCACTAAGCACTCCATCTGTGTTGGCTTCTTTTGAAAACCCCACCCAGAGCCTTTTTAAGACTGGGCTTCAGATCTATTTTGGAGAGGCCTTGATTGCTCTCTCTCCACCACCTTCTTTTTACAGATGCACTGTCCCTGGTCATGCTGGTTTCTCCTTGCTTCTTGCTCACATAGTAGCTTAGAGAACTCAGGGGCTAGCTGATATTTCTCCCTCTTGGGAACTCTCAGTCCCCCACCTGCCAGAGCTTGAGATACTTCTCTATAAAGCCATGCCCCTCTTATCTTTCAAAACAGAGTTTTGAAATTCACATCCTTCCTGAAACATGCCACAGTTAGAAAAACCTAAGCTCTGGGTTCAGGCAGCCCTGGGTTCAAATCCCACCTTAATCTACACCAGCTGAGTAACCGTGGGTAAGTTACATAACATCGATTAGTCTCAGTTTCCTGATATGTCAAATGAGGTAAGGACCCCTCCCTCACAGGATGGAGAGGATAAAGTAAAATACTGACTACCAGATACCTGGGGCTGGGGCACAGTGCTGGCACATACTAGGTGCTCAATAAATGTTTCCCTTCTCTGCTCTGCACTCTGCTCTGACAGCATGGGCTCGTCTCTGTACTCAAGCCCTTAGCAATCCTTACAACCACATTAGCTTACTTATATTACGTTCTTGGATAGCTATCATGCATTGGCTATGATCTTTCATATACTGGACAATTATTGGACAGTTCTATTTGGAATAGTATAGAGGGTCCTACATATGTGTAGATATCCCTAGGGTCTTGGTGAGTGTCACAGTGAGAGGATATATACAAGATGCTCTAGATCACAGCATATGGAGTTGCTAACATTGATTTCAGCTGTCAAGGGTCTCAAATCCAACTCAGGGATCACTGATTGAGCCCATACGGTATGGTACTAGGCACTGGGGATTCAGGAAGAAGATAATGCCTCCATCCTCAAGGAGTGCAGGGTCCAATGGAGAAGAGACGTAAGTGGACATAAGGAAGTAGAAAGTGCCTGTATGTTGTCATACCAGAGGGGGACAGCTAAGGATGGGGCAAGGAAGACTTCCTGGAGGAGGTGGCATCTAAAATTTAGAGGACAAGTAGGAATTGACTGAACAAATGAGAGACAGAAGGTCCATCAAGGTGAAGGGAAACAGTCTGTGCAATATCTAGCTGTGAGGCTGGATGGAGAGCTCAGGAACCTTAGTAGTTCTGTATGGTTGGATACATATGCACAAGGCTCTGAGTTGCTGACAAGCTCTTCTTTTCTTCTCTTTCTTTTCCCCCAACTCCCACCACCTTTCTCCAGTCAAACCCTTTACCCCCAGATCCAGGGGCACCCTTTTCCAAGAAATTTCAGCCTCTCTGCTGTCCTAGCTCAAGACCCTTGCAGCCCAGGCTGGGGAAGTTATGGAAGGGAAAAGGAGAGAGGAAGCCCTTGGTGAGTGTTTAGACTGAGTTTGAAAGAGGAAAAATCCACTACCACCTCAGGTCCCCACGCAAGAACACTGAGCAGGGCTCGGGTTAGCCTTGGGTCATGGTTAGTCCATGGTAACAGCTGCCAGATATCAGGAAAGAACCTGCTTCCCCCAGCAAAGGCCTCTCCTCCCCCAGCCTTCTGCCTCCCTACTTTGTGTCCGGTCCCCTCAGGCCTCTGCCCCCACCAAATCAGTTCCTGCTGATTTGGTCAAGGTGAAGGTTCCCTCACCTTCCTGGAGTTTACGGTGCAGCCAGCAGGCCACAGAGTCTCTTAGCACCCCCAAGAGACTCCGAGCACCTCAAAGAGACTCCCAGCACCCCCAGTTTCTGCTGAGGGACCATATGCAGTCACCACGTTCACTCCCATGTGTGCACACCCACACACGTGCACATACTCCTCTCCCACACACTAACTCACAGGACCCACGCTCACACACAGGCTCACACTACTTACCCACGCATCTGCTCATAGACACACACACTTGCGTACACACACTCACACACCAGAAGGCACAGCTTTCCTCTGTTTCATAAGTTCCCCTTGGGGAGAATCGACCCCTTGGAAAGTTCTGGGTCTCTAGCCCAGGGACATCAAGTCCCAGGCCAGAAGACCCCAGTATCTCTCACTGAGAGGGTACAAAAGGGTTAAGAGAGAACATTTCCAGGGAGTTTGCCTCTTAATCAACACAGTTAATTCTTTTCCTTTTACAAACATAAATTCTTGGCAGTCAGTAACCAAGAAAGAAAGGGGTAAGAAAAAAAACCTTAACCCAACATTAGTCAAATCTTTGCCTCTTCCTATTTTTTTTTTTCAAGTTAAAACCCAGGGGAATTCAAAGCAATGAGAGAAATCCCAGCCCAGATGGAATGTTTTTGCTAATATACGTCTGCAAGTTATTTAAATGTATGTTTAAGAGTGTGTGTGTGTGTGTGTGTGTGTGTGTGAGAGAGAGAGAAAGAGAGAGAGAGAGAGAATGCAAGAGCAAGCAAGTATGACTGAATGATGTGTGTGTGTGGGATGTGTGTGTGATGTGCCTGTGTGACCACAGCAGACAGCAGAGCAGCGGAATCACTGGTGTCTGCCTCAGCCCCAGCTCCCCTTCGGCCCTGACTCTCTTGTCTAGCACTAAAGCAGGCCAAGGCTACTACTCAGGACAGTCCTTGTTCTTAAACCTAGGGGCTTCTGGGACAATAGCCCTCGTGCCCGGCCTTCAGCCCCAGGATCGCCACAGGAACACATTTTGCTAACAGTCACCCACCGTACACCTTCTTATCTTTCTTTCCTGCTTAGTCAGAAGATTTAGGGCTGGAGTTTCCAGGCCTATAGGAGAGGGGTGGTTAAGAGGACCAAGACTGTTCCCACCCCCCAGAGATCTGCACCTCCCAGGGGCCCTGCCTCAACTTGAAATCTGGGCTCAGACTCTATTTTGTGATCTCTTGAATCTTCTCTGAGAGCCTTCTCGGGGTCTTCAGGACCCCCCTCCCATGGTAATCCCTCTCTATCATTGACCTTCACCCCCTCAGAAGCACCCTTAGACAGCAAGGCTGCCCCTTACCCCTGGACTCCACTTCAGCAAGGCTCCCACCTGCACCCCCAGAAGCACTCTCAGCTGAGTTCAGGGTACAGAGGCTTAGCAGAACCTCCCCGAACCCCACCTGCCCCCTAGCTCCCTCTCCTCTGCTTTCTCCTGAGCCGATTTTAATTCTTTTAATCTTTTGTCTGAAATCGCTCCTCTGGCCCTGTAATCAGCTGTGTGGGTTCCAACTTCCTGATTTCCAGAGGGAGATTAGGCAGCTTTCTCCATCTAAAAGCACTTTGGATGCCTGGGCCACCCCATGGGCTGGCTAGACCCCTCTCTGGCGAGGGGCCTGTTTTCATTCTTCCGAGCCCCAGCCCACCCTGAGTCCTGGACCTTCCACACAGAACTTCCCATGCCCCTACCCTGCCCTGGGCCCCCAGAGATTCCAGCCCTCCCAACTCCCTCCCCGCCGAATCTCCAGCCAGGCCCAGAGCCTGGAGTCCACAGTCCCCTCTATCACCAGCTTTTGGGAGTGAGGGTGGGGTGGAGTGGTGGGGGGCACTGGGTGGGGGCACTGGGTGGGGGCGGGGTATTGCCCCAGGTCTGAGATCTGCAGAGAGCATCCTCTTTCTGGTTGACCCCCACCAATCTCCCTACCCCTGCTTCTCCTGTAGCTTCTCTGCTTTTCCTCCCACTCTTGTTCTCAGAGGTCCTTTTTCTGAGAAGGTGGCCATCCATGGTCTGGTTGATGGGGAGCAAGACTTACCAGGCTTCAGCTTTCTTAGTGTGTCTCATGCACTCTGCACCTTCTGGAGCCACCTCAGGATCTGGTGTTCAGCTGAGCCCTGGCTCTGACAGAGCAAAATGAAGTCAGCTTCACAGACTGAGTGAGAGGGGGTGATGGAGGGGAGGTGGGAAGAGTGAAGGGGAGCGAGGGAGAGAGTCCAAGGGAAAGTATAAACGAGTGTGGAGTGCGCATCTCTTGGGCTTGCCTTGATATGTAGCTAGGGGGTAGTGGTAGCTGAGATCTGACTTTCTTCATAGAAGAAATAGTTGCCTAGAAAGGACTCCGTGAGACAGAAAGAAGACATTCTGAAGGAAGCGTCCTGAAACGCCACCTTGTTGGGGCTACAGTCTCCCTCTGAAATGGATAGTGTTCAGATATGTGGACAATGGCTTCCGAAGGACTGAAGAATGCAGAGGGGTCGGGTCTGCCTTGGGCTGAGGGCTTCAGAGAGGCTGCGAATTCTCTGACACCATGTGCAGATTTTGTGACTAAAGACATGATGGGGATAACATCCGTGGCCTTCATCATGTTCTCAAAGGGTTTCTCACTCCCAAGAGATTAAAAACCACTGGACTAGAGGCTGATGTGAAGGTGACACAGGAGGCTGCCCAGAGTGACCCAAAGACAGGCCAGAGTGCAACCGATGACCTCTGGCTGAAGTGAGCAGACTGGGCCAGGCCCAGGCAGTACTATGAGTCTGCAGAGCTGACCTCACCTGTAATGCGTAGGGGGTTCCCAGAGATGATTCCTGGAGATTCCCTTAGGTTCCTGGAGATCTCTCTGAAAGCAGGACTCTGCCAGGTGAAAACCCCCAGCTCACAGCACACACCTTCACTGGGTTGAGCTGTTTGTTGGATTTACTGCTGGACATGGCAAGTGGGAGTTGGTGAGATGGAAATGTCCCAAGCTGAGACCTAAGTCTTTCTTACAGTGAAAAGTGTGCAAGAAGAATTTGCACCCACAACATTCACATACCGTGTCCAAATCTCATCTGTCTCTGAGTAAAAAACACATCCACTGTCCAAGGGGCTATGTGTGTCCAGCACTGATGTGGGCAGGTCAGGGGAATCACAGGACAAGAGGGATGGGAATCCACGCCAAGGGGTGATTCAGAAGAAACCATAATTGTTTGATGAAAAGCCTATTAGACCAGCTCCTCACCAACGCTGCGATCTCTGGTGAAACGACCAGGCTGGACTGGGAAGTCTCTGAGGGCACCTCCAGTGCTGCCACCTTAGGTTTGAAGAAATTCCCCCTCTTGTCCCTTCCTTGGAGCACTTGTACAAGGGAAGTGGAGATAATCCAAAAGCCACAGGATGCTTTTCCTAGCTTCCCCTCCTGCACTCCAGGACCACACACCCTCCTCCCACAAAGTCAATTTCCCTACTGAAGAGGCTGTGGGAACCATAGGGGTTTTCCCCTTTTTTTTTTTTTTTTTTTTACTTATTTGACTGCTTTTATGCTTAAATGGAACACATTCAAAGGACAGGGAGTGTGGAGGCCAGACAGGTGTGGAAGGAGCACCCTGGCACCACGGGCAAAGAGGGGCATGGAATCAAACTTTCCTCGGGCCCTTTAATGAAGACTCCATTCTAGGGCAGATAAGATAATGCCTAACGGCTTGGGCTTATGTTCTAGAGCCTGAAGTTTCTAGAATGCTCTCTTCTACGCGGTGTGTGCCCATGAGGCTTATATATGTGTGTCTGTGGATATGTGTGTGTATAAATATAGCTAGATGGATACAAATCAAGGGTTTGTGAGATGGTGGCAGTGCTGCTGCTGGCAGCGCTTCCAAGTGGGCAGCTACAGGTCTCCCCGCAGGTCTCCTCCGTCACTATCACTTCCATAGGTGACTCCTTTTTCCCAACTCCCCAGCATCAAGCTGTCATCCTCACCAACTCCTCCCTCACTTTTCCTCCACACACTCAGGCTGTTGCTATATCCTCACTTCTTCCTCCACAGCAACTCTGAAATCTGTTCCTTTCTTGGTCTCCGCCCCCTCTATCAGCAACCCCCTCCTTCTGTCCCCATCTTGCCAGTCTTGTCTCTGTGTCTCTTTGCTTTTCATCCTGACTCTGTGCCATCTCTGTCTGCTCTTTGTCCATCTGTCTGTCCCTCTCTGTACGTGCTTAGGATGTGCAGTTCCATCTCTGAATCCCTGTCTGCCTCTCTGTCTGTGAATTTCCTTTTGTTTTGTTGTGTATGTTTGTCTATCTCTCCACTCTTCTCTCTGTCTCTTGACAAGTAACACAGCCAGAAACTTCTGGGGGAAGCCACATATCTAAGTTCCTTCTTTTTACCAAGCTCACTGTCAAGTTGGCGTCTCATCTGCTCTGGACTCTGAGCAGAGCAGAGATAGGAGGCAGGCTGGGAGGCGGGGTACAATGGCCCCACGGCCCCTCCTGGTCCTGTGAGGGCCTACGAGAACAGTGGGCCTTGGGAGGAACAGCTGGGTTGGAGGAACCAGTGATGCAGCCCAGACTGTTACTAAAACAAGTGGCAGGCCTGGTTCATTTGCATGTTGGGTCTCTTTTACATAAATCTGCATGTCAAGCTGGAGGCCCTGGAGTCAGGTAATGCAAAATGATGCAAAATAAATTAATCAGTGTGCCCTGCTGCAGGTGTAAGTCGGCCCTGTCTCTCAACTGACAGCAAACCCAGATGGGTTGGTATCCTTATGGGTTGGGGTGAGGGTGGAACAGGATCAGGTTGCTGGCCTGGAGGAAGCAGGCAGCTTTTCCATCCCAGGCCTGGAAGGCCCAATGGGCAGTCTACTATCCTGCCTGGCTCCAGAGTTCATCTGAGAGAGGATGGCTGTAAAGCTGGCTAGCCTGCACCACAGCCTCATCCAGGCCCTAGAGATTCAGAATCCAAAGCCAGAAAGAATGTGGGGTGGGGGGGAGAGGTGTCTACTTATGGCTCATCTCATCCAGTGGCGGAAACTGAGGTGTAAGGAGTGGTGGGGGAGGACTTCTCCAAGGTGACCCAGCTCTCTATGGTAGGGTCCAGATTGGAAGCCTGCCATTTGGCTCTCAGCAAAGCAACCTCCCTGCTCCTTATCCTGGCTAGAAGTGGATAAATTTCACTTCTCCAACCAGGGGTCTCCAGTGACTTTGGGGGATCACAGATAATAATCTGCCCTTGTTTATCACCCAGGCATTCAGAGAGCTCTGCCCTTGTGCTAGCTACCTACAGGGTCCTCCAGTTTCCCTGATCCTGACCTGGGACCTTCAGGAAAAGAGCATACGAAAGAGACAGTGGTCACTTTCTCTCTCTCTGTGGTTCTCCAGTTACTAGAAAGTGTGACTTCTTGGCTTATGCCCTGGATTGGGAAATGACTCTTGAAGCCCCAAGATTTCTGAGAGGCCCCTTCACGCAAGAGGGGTTTGGGGAGCAGGGTCACTAGTACCCAAGCCCATTTTTCCTCCCACAGGAGCCCAAAATCTCCGAAAGACCTCACACCCTCTCCAGACACAGCCTGCAGTTTGTTTAAAGGGAACCACAGCATCACATGTGTGACAGCTCTGACCATTTTCATTCTCCTCTGCCGAGGGATGCTGGCCAATCAGGCTGCATCCTACTGCCACCAGGAGCACAGGCTAACTGCACAGTGATGGCCCTCTCTGAAGGCAGGGGTCTAGTGGTTAAAAGCAGGAGCTTTGGAATGAGTCACACCTCTGCCTGGGTCCTGGTGCTACTACTTACCAGCTGTGTGACCCAGGGCAAGACACCTGGCCTTTCTGACTCTAGTTTTCTTACATGTAAAAGGTGGGTAGTAATAGTTCCTACCTTGTAGGATTATTATGAGGTTTTTAAATGAGGTAAAGTATACACAGCACCCCACACAGCGCCTGGCACAGAGTAAGCATCTATAAATGTAGCCTTATTATTACTGTTGCAAGTACAGCTATTCCAACTAGATTAGCCTAAGTCAGAGGAAAGGGGCTGGGGCAGAGAAAAAGGCCTACTAATAATCTCTTTCCCGTTCCCCTCCTCCCCAGACCACCTTCTTCCGGCCCCACTGTCTGCAATCTTTTCTCCACATCTGCACTAGAGGGAACATCCTAAAACACAACATTGTCTGTCATGCCCCCTCCTTGCCTTAAAGCCTTGCTGGTCCCCCCCCCCCATTGCTTTTAGAATGAAGCCCAGGGCCTCCCTGGTGGCACAGCGCTATGAAGCTGTCCGCAGCCTCTGCAGCACCGGTTCTATCCCTGCCGACCTCAGAGCAACCCACATGGCGAGCAGACCTCTCCTATCTTGCCTGCTGCTCCCCTCAGCAGTGTATTTCGTCATTCTGCCTGTTCTGTTCCCCGCTCTGTCTCTGGTAAATCCTCTCAGTCTCCCGCGCATCTGGCCTGTACCCCGGCCCTTGTATAAATAAAATAAATCTAAAAAAAAAAGCATGAAGCCCAAAGTCCTTGACACAGTCTTACAAGGCCCTTTGTGATATGGCTACTGTTTATCTCTTGAGTTTCATCTCTCAGCCTCTTGAAACCTAAGCTTCAGGTCCACAGTTACTGAGACACATATTCTGTCCGCACTCACCTCCAGGCCTCTGTACAAGCTGCTTCCTGATCCCAGCTACTCCCTCCTCTCCTTTAAGCTTAGAGGCTGCTTCCTTCTAGAGCACACCCACTCAGAGGCTAAGGATTGAAAAAGAAGGGCCTCCTCATCCCAGGAGATTTAGCCTCAGGTCCAAGCAGCCGGGAGGTCTAAGATCATCTAGCCTGACTTCTTCTTTGGTAGTGGAGAAACCCAGGCCCCAGAGGCAGGAGCCTTCCTCCAGGTCCCCCTAGAACACCCCCCACTCTCTCTCCAGCAGCACAAGAGGAAACCTGTGACTCCTCTTCTGACACCAAGGGCTTCACATTCCAATTCATTTGCATTTAATCATTTAATCACCTCTCCCAGGGAGAATGAATAAACAGAAAAGACTTGGGGACCCAAAGGAATGAATTCCAAGCCCCAGGAGAGACCACAAGGGATATATGTATTTTAAGGTGGGGGGGCTATTTTATAATAACCTTCAACTAGTCCCACAGAGTTG